ATAATTTCCTTTCATCCCTCAATTTAAACAAGTTAATAAATGTGCTATTACGTGTGGCATTAATATGACTTTCAATATATCTTAATCTTTTTTCCCTCCTTTCTACAACGTCTTTTGCAGATTCCTCCACACTTTGCGCATATGCCACACACACACAACACTGCAGAAGTACCAACAGGTACACCACGCGGCGCAGTTGGACGAACATCGTTGTCATGATTGTCACTGTGGGTTGCTTGGGTCTGTGGTAACANAAAACGAACACACAAGATACACACGGTGTATCGGAAACGCAAAAGAGAAACACACAGATGCACATAACGTGCAATGAAATTATAATGAAACACACACACAAAAGGAAAAAACAAACAATATAATAAAAACAAAATGAAAAGAAAGCTGTGACCACCATGTGAATATCTTCAGGAGGCAATAACACAATTCCCAGCAGTAGNGCAAACACAACATCTACACAGACACACACAGGAAAAGCAGCGCAGTACATGAAGCAGAAAAGAGAATAAGGGAAAAGAAAACAAAAAGAAATATTTCCCCATCAGGTGCAGAACAAACCACACCCATGTGACTGCACTCCACGGACGCACAGACATGTCTCTTTCCAAGCCCCAATACAATTAAAACCCGTGTATATATATAAAAATATATAAAAATAGAAAAAAACAATTAATTATTTCACTCCCTTTTTAAGAGCCTGCATCACCCAATAAGTACATTTAGTACAAACGAGCATGCAGTCAAATGCCCAACAATATAGTTACAGTGAGGGAAAGGGAGACAAAACAAAACGAAAAAAAACTTACACAGTGAATCCAATTACAACAAAAAAACAAGCACACACAAGAGAGGGGAAAGTATATATATATCAATAGCTCTGCAGATGGCTGCGCACACTCGCAGGTGCAGCACAACGATCCACCATCACAGCAGCACACCACACGTGTGCACGGGAACAGCCAATGCTGCAGAAGGGAAACAAAAGTATATATAAGCCAGGGGCGTCGCACAGAATTCCAGAAAAGAAAAAATAAAAATAAAAAAACAAGCACACATGTCTATAAGGCTAATAGACCTCAATGAACCCCAGTCAAGCAATCATCAA